AACCGGTTACCATGTTGATGTGACGAGTGATGTGATATCCAACTCAGTATTATTTGCTATTCAACTCAATTTCATCCCATCACTCGTCACATCAGCATAGTAACCGGTTAATGCTTCAACCGGTTACCCGGATACTTAAAAAAACTTTACATCTTAGGTTCCAAAATGAAAGTTTTGAGAATCAAGTCAAAGTAAGTTACATTTTCATGTAATTTACCTTTTAAAAAATAACATTTTTACTTTTCAGGGAGGAAATATGTCTGGTTCTACGACTCTATAGAATAGAATTTATCAAAATTAAAACCGAATAAAAGTAGTGTTAACTATTATTTATTCAAAAGCATATCAGTTATATAAGCTTTGATCGAGACCTGATGAATCCACAATATATAAACCAATGATGACAAAAGCCTTTGGGTTGATTATAACAAATGAATCATAAAATATTTAAGTTGCAAGTTCAAATCCCTTTAAAACCGTGGAGGTATATACAAAACCAACAAAACGGGTTGCTATTTCGCAATTGAAAGGTTAAAGGTTAACGAAAGTTGACTAACTGAGGGTTAGTTTGGTCATTTAGTAACTAAATCATAGAAGATTCCATATACCACATGGATTTTGAAATGAATATTCCAACTAAATAAAGAAAAATAAACTACTTGATTAATTATATAAAGCTTAAAAAACAAAGCACAATTGTTGATATTTAAGTTCTGTTATCGTTCGTATGTTTCGATCATTTGAGGAAGACTTTGATTTTTAGTATGATTATTGTGAGCGAAATGCAGATGATAATAAACTAGTCAATGATCATTGTGTTGACGTATTAGTTCACTGTAATCCTATTTCGGTGCCTGACTGGTTTGAGCTTGAGATCCAAAGATCAAAAGTATATGAGGTTAAAATCCAAGAAGAAATAAAAATCTTCTTGTGGCCATGAATGTTCAAATGCGGTGACTCCTGGCTATCCGCAAAGCAGTGGTCGTTCTGGGATTAGTCGGCTTCCATAGCGGGTTGGATATCCAGGTTAATAAAAAAAGACTTTGATGCTTCAATTGGCATTTTTCTACGCCTTATTTACGTCAAATGATACAAATGGGAACCATGAATTTATATCTAAAAAAGTTTTATGAGATTTTCAAAGGTGGAAAAACTATGGAAAACAAAAACTCTAGCAAAATTAACCACAAAGAGAAAGAAAGAAAGAAGTACACACACAAAAGGAACAAGAAGACGGAAAAAGAAGTCACAAGAATTCATTTTGTTGATATCTAAAAAAGATTACGGTTCAGTGTATTTTCTATACAAAATGTGATTTAAATATATATAATGCAAATTTTAACATGTCGACTGAACCTATAAGTAACACATGAAAATCTTTTAAAGTCGGATCTAAGGGGGTGTTTGGTTCACATAATGAAATTTGATGAAATTGGAATCCTTGACTTTGAAGAAATTGGAATGGAATTTGTCCACGCGTTTTGTTGGTAGAAATTGGAATAAAATCTCTCAATATAATTGGAATAATCGTCTTTGTTTGGACTATCCCGCCCACACTCTACCAACCACCATGTCAATACTGTCGTCGTCACAGCTATCACCTCGCCCCACCCCACCCTACCCTACCCCACCCCACCCCACCCCATTGCTCCATATGTGGGGGTTGTTTGAGGCAAACAGGGTAGGGCGAGGCAATGGGGGTGGGGCCATAATGGGGCTGGGTGGTAACTATGACAACTACAATGGTAGGATGGTAGCTAGTGGTGGGTGGTGATGAAATTCAATTCCTTCCATTACACCACGTAATGATGAATTTATTAATTTGTGGAATTCAATGAAATATGAATGATTCAATTCATTTCAACAAATTACTAAACAAAAGAATTGGAATTTAGTCAAAGGAATTTGTTATTCCAATTCCATCAAAATCTGTCGAGTTCCGCGAACCAAACGACACCTAAGTCTCTAGTCTTTAGATAAAAACCTTGGGCCAAATGGCCAAACCGCAATAGGCATTGCCATGACGTCCGGTTTGTCGTAAGCTTTTCGTGCATATCTTTTCTCAGTAATAGAAAATAACTATCATTTTAAGTTGGACTTCTTTCCTGTATATTTGTTTTTATATTATCGATCCATAATTTTCTCTGACAAATATAACTGCTATTATTGACGAATGATTGTAAAAATCGTTACAATTATTTTAAATGTGTCATTGTTTTTAAACAATTGAAAGTAGAAATCGATGGATTTGTTTGCGGCGAAGAAGTCAAGTTATTTGAGACGAGCGATAAGGGCATTTCTTCACCACCAAGCCCGGTTCAAAATATCAATGCAACTGTCAAGCATGGGCCCGACCCGGCCCGATCTCTGTGCATTTCCCACGTGAAAAAGCTCGGTTATCCAACATCGTAATCAACACGTATTACATAGCCCTTTATCTTGTAGAAGTCACCCCAAATACCCTTTTGACTTTCGGTAGAGTTACACATTATACCCCTATATTCCACTAAATTACACTTATTCCCCTTGGAGTTGGAATGATTAAACTTTAGTGATATATACGAACCACTAAGCTCTTTTAGTTTTTAAGGAAGTGTCAGCATAGGCCTTGGAAGAATAAAGAACCTCGGGTATTGGGATTTTTTTGAGTCTTTTATAACTGCTACTGAGAAATGGAATGTCGGAGGCTCGACGAATTTTGGAAATTGGAATGATGAAGAGAAGAAACAATTAGCATGAAAAATTAGGCTACAGATATCTAGACTAATTGTTTGAAGTGAATAAAACTTGTTGCCTCTTGGGTTGTCGATGCCTTGAGCAGATACACGAGCCCACCATTGGTCTAGACATCTATAACCTAATTTCCCATGCTGATAAAAGTTGTTGACTCTGACCCCCTATCACTTTAACCCTAACAAAGTAAAAAAGATTCCATGTCCCTAATGAATTGTTCCCACGACCTTGACCCAAGCGCCAATGTATGCCCTTGATAGCTGGAGGCAGGGGCGGAGCCAGTAACTTTGCCAAGGTGGTCCTCTTTAGTAAAACTAGAATAGATATATGATGATATTATATTCATGACAAAATTTAATTAAAAAATAAATATATATTTCAAAATCTGTAACACTAACCTTTACATATTTAACAATAAACTCGAGTTTTATTTTTAAAAAAATATTAATGATATCTTCATTAACAGAATATTCAGAGTCTTCTTGGATTTGGAACGAAAAAAGAAATTAGAATTTTGAAAAGTAGGAGGTATGAGATTGAGTCTTGGTAGAGTGAGCCATCGCATATAATAACACTAAATAAAAACTGGCCCTTACTTAAAAAATTGAATTTGAGTGGGAGCCAGTGAGGCCTCTGGGTCAATGGAGGTTCCGGATCCGTAAGGACCGTAACCGAGTGTGAGTGTAACTATTTGAGGCAAGGTGGTATTTGTTAAATTTTATAAGGGCTGTTTTGTAACTATTTAAACACGAGGGTGTACGAGCGTAAAATATTAAATTATTTGGTGCACCCGCGGTCCATTTAATTTTTCCCAAATCCGGAAGGTTCTTCCAACCGCATTCGACCAATCCTACTCTGCTCCACTCTCTTCAACCTCCATATCTCACTCTATTCAGATGTTTTCATGAGATTTGCTTCTCTCTAGAATCCTGATCAAAGCGTAAGTTATATTGATCTTAAACGTATTTCATTGCTTAATTTGATAATCTCAATGAAGTTCATCAGAAATCAAATGCAATTTCTTCGTTTATCTTTTACGATTTCATGCTTTCACGTCAGTTCTATTTCTATGATTCGTCAATGTATAAGTATGTATAAGTAATGTTCTGTGTGTTTTCTGGATAGACTGATTATTGTTCTATTTATGTTTAAAGGTGTGTTATGTGTATAGACTGATTATTGTTCTGTGACGACGAATTGTTAGATAGTGACATTGAATTGGTTAAGGATATGAGCAATTCGGTAGGGCACGGTTTTCTTCGACCGACGGTTTTGGAGCATCAAATAAAAACAAATTCTAATGGCATTGGTGGAAATACCTTGTTTCAACCTCAAGCGAATTCTCAGATACGGAAATTTTCTTCTTCGTCGTCGTCCTCGCCCTCTTTATTACCTAGCGATTTTCTTGGTCACAGACTAACTGTGCGGAAATTGAGGTTGCCGAGAAATCTTGTGGTTTCTGGTTTTGCTCAAGCTGTTTTAACCACTGATCCAGCTTCTGAGGTAATCTGTTCTATATATATATGTATGTATATACATTCTTTTAGTTTAAGAATTTACGATTACTTAATTACACAGTTTAAGAATTTACGATTATTTAATTAGACAGTTTAAGAATTTTGGTGGTATTTACACACTGACATGTTATAGGTACCGACAGTGGAATTATAGCGCACCTTATAAAAATTATGTGCGAATTTCTACTGCATGGTTATATTCCTTAATGTATGTGTAGAGAGAGATGTGCATCGTAGTTTATATGGTTTAGCCTAGACCAACAGTATTCTACATGTACATCTTTTCTAGTTGAACTTGAATTTGGTAAAATGGAATGTACTGCTGTAGGTGTAGCAGGACAGGTTCCTACACTAACTGAAAAAATGTGCTTTCATGAACACTTGCTGATAAACTGCCAAGCTCGATGAGTTTTGCTTATCTATGACCATTCTATGATAACTTTTGGGTTTAATCATATTAAAGATTTAAACACCTAGAGAAGCTAGCTCTTTCTTTATATCCCCTTAGGCTACGAAAGAATTCCAGTTTGTTCGCCAGCTTATCAAGCAAGGCTTTTTGCATTCCATTAAAACTTAGAACTGAAGAAAATGCAGTGGAGAACAATCTTTATAAACAGGCCACAGCAGGACTACGTACCATTTTATCATTTTCTTTGTCCAAATGAGCATCATGTTTGTTGGGTTTGTCCTCTGAGATTCCTGAAATCTCAGCTGCCTATATTGTCCCATCAAGCAAAATAGTCGACTTAAAACTATATAACAACTACTATTAATCAAAAATACTTAACCTGACTTCATGTAAATACTAATTGAGATGCAAAGGTTTGATAGAATCTTATTTTCTTGTAGCAGCTGGGAGGGAGGTTCATACTGGAAGGAGATATTGAGATGCAGGTATCTACAGATTAAGATATGACGATTACATGCTGCTGCCTGAATGATTGGACAGTGTACTTGTTGAATTCTCAAGGACTTGATAGATAAAACTTTTTTAGAATTCTATGTACTGAAACAAGCATTACTTTTTAATTTTACAGGTAGACGTTAAAATTTCTTCTATTGCACTAGTAGAGATTCAGATTACTAACAGCGCCGATCATCTATATCTGCATTGGGGTGGTATGCGGGATAGACAAGAGTACGTTGTATTTCTGATTTTACGTTCTGGATTTTATTTGGTTTAGGATTTGTTTGTACCTTACCTTAATGTTCTTTTTTTTTTCTTTTTTTTTTCTGTTGTTTTCTCAGGAAGTGGATACTTCCCAGCCTTCGTCCTGAAGGGACCAAAGTAGATAACAATGCTCTTAGAACCCCCTTTGTGAAAGTAGGTTACTTTTAAATATGAATTCACTGCTGGAGCCTTGACTATTTCATTGATCTCTCATTCAGGTTGCTATAGAAAATAACATCTATTTGTTGTTTTCTTCTAGTCTGGTTCCAATTCCTTCCTGAAAGTAGAGATTGATGATCCTGCAATCCAAGCTATAGATTTTCTAATAGTAGATGAAAGACAGAACAGATGGTAAGTAATATAATTTTGAGGCAGTGTCAGTGTTGTTTAAGTTTACATCATTCTTCCTTACCCCCACCCTATGCAGGTACAAAAATAATGGTCAAAACTTCCATGTTAAGTTGCCTATTGGAGAGAAGCAAGTTTCAAATGTTGGAGTTCCTGAAGATCTTGTACAGATTCAAGCTTATTTGAGATGGGAGAGAAAAGGGAAACAAACGTATACCCCCGAAGAGGAAAAGGCTAGTTATTTATGACACTATACAAATCTCCTAATATTATCTGGAGCAGTCTAACTTCTTGTGAAAAGTTTTGCTTTTGAACAAGTTCGAAAGTAATGCTAGTTGGGAAACATGATAGAATGCAATTTACAATCTATATACAAACAGACAATATTCTGGGAGACAAATAGATATCCAATGGTGGCCTTTATAAACTTGCAGTGCTATTTTGACAATTTCATAATTAGCATTTTTCTTTGAAATTTCACTTTACACTTCCACTATTATTGTCCTTGTACTTTCTGGAATTTAGTGCGACTTCGATTAAAAACTAAACATGTCATCAATGCTGGCTTGGCCATCTTGATGATAAGTAAGCTGGAGAGGGTCAACACTCTTGCTATTCACTACATCCTACTTTTTGTTTTCTTCGTTTTGTACTTTTAAGTGACTTAATGCCATTGCAACAGAAAGAATTTGAAGAAGCAAGAAAGGAATTGCAAAGGGAACTGGAAAAGGGTAGTTCTCTTGATGACATCCGGAAGAAAATGACCAAAGGAGAGACACAGAAAAAGGTTCAAAAGCAGCCAGGGAAGAAAACTTACTTCACTCCTGAAAGAATTAACCGGAAAAAGAGGGATTTAATGCAACTTCTCAACAAACCTATCCCAGTTACTGTGAAATCTGTGGAAGAAAAAGTCTCCACAAAACCAAAAAGTTTATCCGCACTGCAGCTTTTCTCTAAATCCATAGAAGAACAAAACGGCGCTAATATTCTGAACAAAAAAATGTACAGACTTGCTGATAAAGAGCTTTTGGTAAGATAATTTTGTTTCTTTGGTGAAACCATGCAGGAAAGGAATTGCATTTCTATATTCTCAAGAGTTACTATTTTTTCAAGGTACTTGTAACGGAGGCTTCTGGTAAGACTAGAGTTCATTTGGCAACAGACCAGGAGGAGCCATTAACTCTTCACTGGGCATTGTCAGAGAGAGCTGGGGAGTGGCTGGCAAGTCCCTAAATTCTTTGTGATTAATGTTACCGCAAGCAGATAAACTGTGATACGATTTCTTTATTTGAGCACATCTACCACCTTCTCAAGAGCTTATAATAAATTATCACATACATATTGCAGGCACCACCTGCAAATCTGTTACCCGCAGGTTCCACTTCTTTAGATAAGGCTGCTGAAACAAAGTTTTCTACAATCTCTATTGACGGTTCTAGTAACAAGGTTTGCCAAGAGAAAATTGGTCTGATTCTTTTCTAGATTACATTGAGCTGAAATGCATGGTCTACTTTATTATTATCATTTTGATTACTATTTGCAATCTTATATATAGCAGATACAGACGTTAGAATTAGAAATCCACGAAGGCATTTTTGTGGGGATGCCATTCGTTCTTCTTCGTGGTGAAAATTGGGTGAAGAATAATGATTCAGATTTTTATGTGGAGTTTGGTGGACCGAAGAAGCCAATAAAGGTTGCTCTCTAACTTATCTTAAAGTAAGTAATTACTACACTTCATTTGTTTCCCAATTTTTATTATTATTTTCCTTTATCCTCATGAAGGATGCTGGTGATGGCAAGGGGACTGCCAAGACCTTGTTAGACAAAATAGCATCATTGGAGAGTGAGGCAGAAAAGTCCTTTATGCACAGGTTTTGCCCTTAAAATTTCCAATGTTTACATGTACAAGAGGAGATTTTGCCTCATGATATTCCTGTTGATTACCATCTGAGCATATTGCATACGTTTCTGATAACCAGACTAAACATACCCAATGTCTTCCACAAGATTTAATCATCTTAGCATATTCCACATATTTGTGATGTTTTCTTTCATTTAATGAGGAATCTCGTATTTCGTTTATTACTGATAGTACCACTTGCCAACTGAGGTATCTTTATGATGTACCTTGCCCTGCTTTACTGTAGTGATGTATAAGGGTTTATCTGTTCTCATCTACAAATTCATATAGACTATTTTTTTATCAGCTTGAAACACACAAAACTGCCTCTCATGAGGCGATAGCCAAAAGAATTTCCTGTATATCCTATTTGCATTTTAACTTTGTTTGGAAGCTTGTAACGTCCCTAGTGTTAAAGATATCGATCCTCAATCAAAGGATTCTCAATTAAATCATTAATTTACTTGTTTATAATAGTTTATGCAATCTTTTGTTTTTAGTATATAGTTTTCTGATTAGGCCCTAATTATAGGGATTGTACATGTTTACTTCTTTTGTAGGCTCTATAAATAGTAGAGTTCTCTGTAATTGTAATACTTTTCTCTAAAACTCATACCAAGAAGATAGAATCTAGTAAAATGCTTGCAGGGCACTTGCCTTGCTTTTGATATTACTATCATTTATGGAGTTACTTCATGGGAATTTGTACATCTTCATCTAAAATGTTTGTAGGAAGTTATTCTTAGACGGTATGCAGAATGCTCATAAGTCAACATTAGGGGAATTGCTCTCTTAGATTTTCTACATCTACAGCTTGAATATTGTGCAAATTGCTGGGTTAGAAATGAAGGGCTTATAAGGACAATAAAGTTCTGGATCATGTTAGCACATATATATCTAGTTGCTTGCTGACGTGACTATGTAGTGCAGTCAATGATGTAACTGTCTTTTCCTGAAATAATCAGTCGTTCACATGTCATCTTAGTCGCTAACAACTGGTCATGTGTTCTTCCTGCACCTCTCAGATTTAATATTGCAGCAGATTTGGTGGAAGAAGCCATGGATGCTGATGATTTAGGTCTCGCAGGAATTCTTGTGTGGATGCGGTTTATGGCCACAAGGCAGCTAACTTGGAATAAAAACTACAATGTAAAGCCACGGTAAACCTCATACTTGAACTTCTTTCAGAAATTATTTACTCATCTCTTGTGGGCTATAATTTGGTGGAATCTCAAAAGTGCACCTTATTCACAAGCACCCAAGTTGCTAAAGTTACACTTCTATGTGCTGCATGGTCAAGGTTCATCCTAATTTTGGCATTTGGTACAGTGAGATAAGCCAAGCTCAGGACAGGCTGATAGACTTGCTTCAGAATGTTTATAGAACTTATCCACAATATAGTGAACTTCTGCGCATGATCATGTCAACTGTCGGACGTGGAGGTGAAGGGGATGTTGGGCAGCGCATCCGGGATGAAATCCTAGTTATCCAGGTATATATATATAACCACAAGGGTTGTGGCGTAGTGGTCAAGACACTGGGGGATGTGGTGGAATATCCCATCTGCCAAGGGTTCGAATCCAAACGTATACAACGATTGTGGCCACTAAGTTTATCGGAGTTGATTTCTTGCGGTCACAATTTGTTGGGATTAGTCCAAGCAGAGCCGGGACACCCTTCCAAAAAAAAAAAAATCTTAAAGTCGTTTTCCTTATTTATTTTGCATAAAGCTAATATTCAGTTATTTCGGCGAACTGTAGAAAAATAATAAATGCAAGGGAGGAATGATGGAGGAATGGCATCAGAAGTTGCATAACAACACAAGCCCTGATGATGTAGTAATCTGTCAGGTATTGAGCATGCCAAGCTGATTTTTTCTTTGAACTTACAATGTGCCAGGAAGGATAACCTATTACTTACCCGTTTTCAGGCACTAATTAATTATATCAAAAGTGACTTGGACATCAGTGAATACTGGAACACCCTAACCACGAATGGAATAACAAAAGAACGACTTTTAAGTTATGATCGGGCCATTCGCAATGAGCCAAACTTCACGAGAGACCAAAAGGAGGGTCTTTTGCGTGATCTTGGAAGCTACATGAGAACGTTAAAGGTTGAATTTATTTTTGATCTATTTTTAATCATGTCCTATCTTTTGCAGACACTTATGACCTCTGCCCACTGTCATATTTGTGCAGGCAGTTCATTCAGGTGCCGATCTCGAGTCTGCAATTTCGAACTGCATGGGATATAAATCAGAGGTAGTGTCAGCATCTAGGTCTTGTTTCTTAACACAATGGCGTTTGTTCTGTAAATCAACTGATGTAGGGGGACTTTATCATTTATGATTCTTAGGGACAAGGCTTCATGGTTGGGGTGAAAATAAATCCTATTTCTGGCTTGCCATCTGGTTTCCCGGTAATTTTTCTTGGGATGCCTCCACTCTCATCTTTAATGATGTCAAATATTCTGGGGTTATTTTCTTGAACTCCAAAGTCTCTCTTTAACTCACAAAGGGTCAAACAGGAATTGCTTCAATTTGTCCTAGAGCATGTTGAAGATAAGAATGTGGAACCCCTTCTTGAGGTACTCGAAAATTTCCTTGCAAGTGTCAATACTACTCTTTGCACATTAACGTCATCTTCTTTAGTTTTCTCTAAACAACATAAATAATTTTTTATCAAGGGACTGCTAGAGGCACGTGAGGAACTTAAGCCATTACTTTCTAAATCAACTGACCGTCTTAAGGATCTTCTCTTTTTGGACATTGCCCTGGATTCTACTGTAAGGACAGCCATTGAAAGGAGCTACGAGGAGCTGAAGAATGCTAAGCCAGAGGTACATTGTCTTTTCAGCAGATCTTAATCTGGTTCAAAATTTTATGCATTGCTTGTTCTCTCTTCACTTGTCTCACTTGACACACTGGTAAGATCACATAAATGTACTTATTGTTCAGTAGGAACCAAGATCTTCGTCACATATCTTCTGGGTTTGTAGTTAACCAAAAAGTTCATTATTATTTGTTAAGTTTGCTTTGCATATCTCAAGCTTGACAATTTTCATTACTTCACAGAAAATTATGTATTTCATCACTCTTCTTCTTGAGAACCTCATACTTTCATCAGACAACAATGAAGATCTGATCTATTGCTGGAAGGTAATATCACTAACCTGTCTAATTGTGCTCATCTTTCATCCTTTATATTAAAGGAGTATGCTACACATTTTCTGCTTACCAGTATCTCATTTGAGTTTTAAGACGTCATAAATAATACAAATACTTGGATTGGTTGTTTTATTGTTACGAGTGTTCGGTAAGAGTGGTTATAGGATTAGAAAGGATGATACCTAACCAATGGAGAACCAAGTGGTGGAGAAATCTTGGACATTTTTTAGATTGTTTGGTTTATATCCATCTTGGACCCTTGGGTTTGGTGTCAATATGGTGTGATTTTCAGAAAAAAAGTGGGTAGGCCAAAATTGGGCAAAGAATAAGTTAGTACTGAAGATGGTTCAGGTGTCAATGAGCCCAAGAGCATAATAAATGTATTTCAAGAAGCAGAGAATGGGTTAGAGAATGCAGTGGCACTGTGGCAGAATACCTTAACTCCTTGTATGTTAGTTAGTTGAGAGTTAATTAGGTTAGTTACGCCTATGTTAGATATAAGCAGTTAGCTTACATTATAGGCTTGTGTTAGTAAATCTCCCTTCTGCCTATAATACCATCAATGTGTATTGACTAATAGATGCATAAACAATCAATAGTTTTTCTGCGATGCCGGACCTACACCCATAGAAGGGTATGCATGTGCATAACCTCAATTCTTTTTGTAGTATAGAAATTCAAAAAGAAAAAAAGAAACTGTAACGGTAGCGTATACTCAATTTTTTGGTAATGGTAGCACATTGCATATCCAGGTTAAAAAACAAGGGCCCACCACTCTTTACCTGCTACTTCTATCTGCGTTCATAGTTAAAGAACAATAAACCAAAGAATATAACCAAAGATATGACTTACAGCAATTAACTCAATAATATAACCAAAGATATGGCTTACATAAGGAGCACAATTTACTTATATATGTCTGGGAAAATATATTTTGTGCAACTCCACTAAACAAATAGTATTTCCGGGAAACTATATTCTACACACCTGAGAAGATGACATTCATTATCAGTAATCCTAAAAATATTCTAGTTATAACTAGTGTTGTTTCTACTGATTGTTGGTTCAGTAATTAATATACTAATTGAGTAAGATCTGTTGTGTCTGTTTGTTCTGAAGGGATGGAATCAGGCATTAACCATGTTGAAGAACAAGGACAATGATTGGGCATTATTTGCAAAGTCAGTCCTTGATAGAACTCGACTTGCACTTGCCAGCAAGGGAGAGTTGTACCATCAACTGTTGCAACCCTCTGCTGAGTACCTTGGAGCACTGCTTGGATTGGACGAATGGGCGGTATGATGCTGTGAAATAACCATAGTACCACATATATATCTACCTTCTTTCGGGATTTGACGTAACTATTTTCGTCGAATCTTAAAATTCATGCAGGTAAGCATCTTCACTGAGGAAATGATTCGTTCTGGATCAGCTGCTTCTTTATCATCACTGGTTAACCGACTTGACCCTATCCTCCGCAGTGTGGCAAATTTGGGCAGGTTGGTCTTATTGCCATTTGGTTTAAGTCAAGTTGGCAGTCATATTTTTGAACTAACTTCTCCATATTAATGTTAGATTTTGAAATACTCAAAACTTCATGATTGAATCATTCAACTGTAAACAACTTCCTTATGCAACATCACCTTCTGTGAACAGCTGGCAGGTCATCAGCCCAGTCGAAGCGGTTGGATATGTTGTGGTGATTGATCAGTTACTTTCTGTTCAAAACGAATCTTATGAATTGCCAACTATTTTAGTGGCAAAGACTGTGAGTGGAGAGGAGGAAATTCCTGATGGTGCAGTTGCTGTACTGACACCTGACATGCCAGATGTCCTATCTCATGTTTCTGTTCGAGCAAGAAACAGCAAGGTATCTGTCTAATTTTGGAACATCATTCAACATACTATCATAAGAGATTTCATAATGATTCACACTTTACCTTCAAGGTATGCCTTTAAAAGATCATCACATTGTCCTTGGCAGGTTTGCTTTGCAACATGTTTTGATCCCGACATTTTGGATGATCTTCGAGCAAAAGAAGGGAAATTGTTGAACCTCAAGCCTACTTCAGCAGATATTACTTATAGGTAGGAATCTTTGTTTATTTTCAAGTTCTATGGAGTAAGGTAAAAGTTCCATTTCTCTTTTGGGTATCTGACTATCTCACCCTCCATAGTCTTAATTGTACATTTTTCAATAAAATGAATGCATGATTGAAAACTTGGAGAAGTCACTCTTTTGTGTTGTGTGTATATGGTTTTAGTGAGGTGAAAGAGGAAAATCTAGCACGATCAAGCAACTTGGAAGAAGTGGGTGCAACACCAACTATAAAGTTGGTCAAAAAGGAGTTTAATGGTAGATATGCCATATCATCAGAGGAGTTCACTAGTGAGATGGTTAGGCTTGCAATTTCGTAGTTACATTATCATGTACTTAATACTATATATATAGAGAGAATCAGGTTCATATAGGACAATAACCAAATAAGAGAATAAGAAAATGATCGAATCGCATGTGATTTTACACTAACATTGCGTGTAAAATCACATGCGATTCACACGAATTTAGGTGCGACCTAAAGTCGCGGACCACCTCGCTCGCACACCCTTTATGTTGACCTTTAACGCAAAATCACATGTGATTTACACGTGATTTGGCTGTTTTCATGTTCTCTTATTTTGTTAACCTCCCTCTCTCTTTATATATACGTGTATAGACGAAAGATTACGTGAGAATAAAAGTTAAGGTGAGAAGCATAAGAGGGATCTAGACCCTTGGTCACTTTTAAATTTTAATGTCACCCCCACCCCTTGAATTGCGCTTCTCATGGGAATTGATCCGGTGCATGTTGATGCACACAATCCGTGTTGATCTTCAATTAAGATTGATCCAAGGGTGGTGATCCCTTCTCACCATAACTTCCATTCCCACCGGAACCCAACATGTATATGTACCTAGTATCGTCTCAATATGTGCAATCTCTAATTACATCGGTGATGACTTTTCTAACTCACTTGTACGACATTGATAAGGTTGGAGCTAAATCTCGTAATATTGCATACCTTAAAGGGAAAGTCCCATCTTGGGTTGGCATTCCTACCTCAGTCGCAATACCATTTGGAGTTTTCGAGAAAGTTCTTTCTGATGAGTTAAATCAGGTAATCTATATATGTATACTTCTATATCGTTTAGAACTTGAAGCACATGATGTATGCAGACGTTTCCTCGTTCCCAAGGAGTAGAAAATCTGTTTCTGACCCCAAAAAGCTCCCTTCCTGAAACAAGTGTTCACTTTCTAATTTTGAACTCAATCTAGGGACGAATGGAGGACTTAAATTTGTGGGATAATATTTCATTCATTCCATGATTAAAATCCACTGTGGAATTTCGTAAAGATTAGTGGTGCTGTCTCTGAGGGTAAACTTTTTTACACTGTGCCATTGTACACGAAAAGGGACTGTTTTCTGGAACACAAGAAATTTTATCGTGTAGATTTTCTATTTTGCTGATCAGAGAGTACGGTGTGGCAAATGGCGTTACTTGCACCTATGTTATTCTTGGGTCTCAGTCTGTAAATTAAAAAAAAATTATTTCAAGATGTCACGCTGGCTTTTGCGAGAAACAGAATTTCATTTTTGAACTATGAAGTCTCCCTTGATGCTGGTTGCCCTGAACACCTAAAAGTTTGACACTTGGTAGCTTCTCTTTGGCTACTGCCCTAGAACTATGAAAAGCCTCGGTTGAATTCCTTTTTACCAGACTTCCATTACTTTGTCTCAACTTATATGTTTCATCCTTTTCTTCTTTCCTTTCTGTTGCGTTCCATTTTCTTTTTTAATTATTGTGATTTAGCTTCCATTTGTATGTTACTTTTAAATGTCAAAAGATTTTGTAACATTACTATGATTAAGCAGGGAGTGTCAGAAAAACTGGAAATTCTGAACAAACAACTAGGAGACGGAGGATCTGACGTCCTTGGGGAGATCCGCAAGACGGTTTTAGATCTTGCTGCACCACCCCAGCTGGTAATATTTCTTGTTCTTTGAGTAACAGGGATGTTTGTTCATGTTATATAAATTGGAAATGTTTTGATTGTTAAGGCAGATTGGAAGAAGACAATAGATGGGGGAATTCGCTCATAAGTATATCTTGTGAGATTGTACATTCAGGGGTAGCAGACGCAAAACCAACTGTCTGTGGGGGTTCAGATTTAGCATTTCTCCCAGTTGGCAGCATATCGATCATTCTGCTAGATCCACTGCTAATCTTTGAATTAATATCTTCAAGAGCCTGACAAGTTTTATATCAGCCTTCAGGCCATTTTACATATCACTTCTTTATATAGGCTAGGAACCAACATCATTTGAAGGTATGAAAGAGCGAATGCACAAGTGAATAAATCAATTAATCACCATATTGTTAGATATGGAGCGTGAGTTAGGACAGATTTCCTGTCTTACCTATTTCTGTTAGGATTCCTACTATAAAAGGAACCACACTGCATTTTATTTCATGTACCATTGAATTCACAAATTATATATAATAGAAGTCCTATCAACCATATATATGGGCAAAATAGTTGAACCATGTAAATATTGTGTCTTCGACTAATCCTTTCCTACAGTTATTACTGTGTGTGTGATTGGTTATCCTAATGAATATAAATGACTAGTTATTCAATCACGGATTCAAATTGTAAAAAAATGACAACGGCAAGTGTTGCTTCAGGTACAAGAACTGAAAAGCACAATGCAAAGCTCTGGCATGCCATGGCCTGGTGACGAAGGTGAACAAAGATGGGAACAAGCATGGATGGCTATAAAGAAGGTTAGAAACACTTCCCTCACTGGAAAATTTAGCATGTTCTCTACTTGTGGATAGCACAAGACTTTTCCTATACCAACTAAGGGGATGTTTGGTTGGTTTTTTGTCAAGTCCTATACGGATAATATTGTCTGCGTGGATTAATCTATGCGTATAAATCGGGAAAGTTTTTGTTTGAAAGGGTTTTTGCATAGATGGAAGAGCATGTTTCTTAATTGAGAGGGGCAGGTTTCGAAAAAACTTGGCTTTCTACGTAAAGCTCTCCCCTAGAAGCTTACTGAATAAGTCACTTCCTATATTGTTAAGCCACTACCAAACAGTCATGTATAGTTGGCCGTATAAGCTGTAAGTCCTATTGTAAAAATAATTGGTCATAGATATTTTTTCACTGATTTGTTTCCAGAAAGGAAATTTACCTTTAACGGATTGCATAAGAGATGCCAAAATCACTTTGCTGGTCTTGCATGAAGAAATAAGAAGGAACTTAGGCTCACAAAGGAAAGATATGGTGAAACCCTCTCCATTTCTTGAGGTTATTTAGGGGATTGTGGTTGTTAGACCCTGCACAAGTCGTGCCTTTTTAATTTTTCCGAAAGAATGTTTTTAACTAATGGGCTACATTCCGGGGATGACTCTCGACCATTCATGGTCGCCCAGGAACTAGTCGGTGTGTGGCAAAAGTTGGTCCAGATATTCAGAGTCACCCAAAAAAGAGAATGAATGTGTTTCCTTTTCTTTTTCCAGGTTTGGGCATCAAAATGGAACGAGAGAGCATACTTCAGCACAAAAAAAGTTAAACTAGACCATGACTTCCTATGCATGGCTGTCCTTGTCCAGGAAATAATAAGTGCCGATTATGCATTTGTTATTCATACCACGAATCCATCATCAGGAGACTCCACAGAGATATATGCGGAGGTTATTCAATTTTACTTCTTTGCTGAATTCATACATGCAGTTTGCTCTCTCTCTTTATATATATATATATATATATATATAGAGAGAGAGAGAGAGAGGGGGGGGGGGAGGTTCAGAGGTATACCCGAAAAATGAAAAAATAAGGAACACCCTAATAATCGTTCATTTGTACGGTATACAAGCAATTAAAGATGTTTCCTGTCTTTATGCACATGTGAATACAGGAAAGTTTACTTATAAATTACTTGTATGCACATGATTATGAAGGGTTATTAGGGTGTACTTTAGTTTTTCACTTTTTGCGGTTTTCCCCTTACCCAATATATATGTATACTCGTATATTATTTTTTCCAATTGGATGAGATGCCATATATAAAATATATTTGTGTCGCTCTATAACTGCTCCCTTGCTGCAGCTGGTAAAGGGCCTTGGAGAGACTTTGGTAGGAGCATATCCAGGTCGTGCTTTGAGCTTTATTTCCAAGAAAGACAATCTAGACTCCCCAAAGGTATGCAGTTCGATGTATTTAATCTATTTATTGTTACGATACACAAGTTCATCGTCATAACTGTTGGTTTATGTGTTTGTTGTTTCTGAAATAACCATACAAAGCTACATTCTAAATTTCTAATATTCTCATATTTGCAAAGATCTTTGTTTCACCTGAACCATGCGAAAATTTTCAGGTTCTTGGTTACCCTAGCAAACCCATTGGCCTTTTCATAAGGAGATCCATTATCTTCCGTTCCGACTCCAATGGTGAAGATTTAGAAGGCTATGCTGGTGCAGGACTTTATGATAGGTAAACTAATATGAAATTTTCTTCTATCAGTGTAGATATATAGAGAGAGAAGGGGTTCAAACGAGAACATTAACCAAATATGAGAATACGAAAACAGCCAAATCATGTGCTAAATCACATTTGATTTTACACTAATGGTCACCGCAAGGGTATGCGGACGACGTGGCCGGCTACATCAGCTCGCGGCTAAAGTCGTATGAATCACATGTATTTTAGTGTAAAATTACATGTGATTAGTTTTTGTTAACCTCTTATTTGGTTAAGGTTCAGTCTGACTCTCTCTCTCTATATATATATATATACACAGACACACACGTATACACACATTTTCCACTAACATTAAAATCCAGCTTTTTACATGTTGTACTAGCCGTCGCTTACACCTGATCAAAATGCCTTGTAAGTAGTGGTAGACTCGGGTTTTTATTGAGCGGGTGTATTGCACCTTTAAGTTACATCAAAGGCCCGTAAAGTCGTTTGATGTATTTTTAGCCGCATTCCACCGTTTCAAGGGAGATTTTAATGTTTTTTGGTTGATTTTGAGAGATTTTTAAGTTTCTTGGTGATTTCTAGAGACTTTCAATTTTTTGGTTCATTTCGAGGTACCTTTTTCGATTTTTTGGTTGATATTTGTTATATTTTCTAGTACCCGAAGCACCCCTCAAAATTTAACCGGTGCATCTTTCATGCCTTAAAAAAATTCTTCCGAAAATAAGTTGAGCGGGTCCGCTTGTACATACAATAGGTCTTCCTCTGCTCGTACGCACATAGGTCTGCCCCTGCTTGTAAGATATGGTATAAATTGACAACTCCCTGAGGCCAGTTCAATCAGTCCTTCCCTTAGGTTGCAAGTTCGAGTCTCCTCACAGCCATAGAAGATTTTCCTAACTATTATCTCGAAGTGTCGGGTCTCAAAACCCATGGTTACCCAAAAAAGAAGACAACTCAAAAATCTTGTAATGCCAATGGACCCCTATTTTAATTTGCAGTGTGCCTATGGATGAAGAAGAGAAGGTGGTTCTTGATTATACGTCCGACCCGTTGCTCGTTGATGTTAACTTCCAGAAGTCGATCCTCTCGAGCATTGCCCGTGCAGGAGATTCTATCGAAAAGTTATATGGAACTCCTCAAGACATTGAAGGTGTTGTAAGGGATGGAAAAATCTATGTCGTCCAAACGAGACCACAGATGTGATCTTCGTGTAATCATCGAGGAGGCATGTGGAGTCTTTATAGCATACAATTTATTTCTATGATTAAATTTGTTGTAACAAGAACTTGATATAATATTATATACGTCCACTTGTGGGGGCTGCCTAGAATGCTTTGCTTATGGGCCTGGGTCTTTCAAGCCCGTTTTTAGTAAGCAATATGAATTATGAAAGGACCCGGATTTTGGGTCTGAAGATTAGCTCGCTTAAGCTTTTTCAGACCACGTTTTCTGGGCTTTTGAAAAAAGACTTAGCTTGATCGGGCTTTTTGTGCATTTTTAGTTGCGGCTTGATGCAAGGTGGCTGAGATAACAAGTATATGAGTTTATGTTTTCTGTTTCTCAGAGAAGACCGGAGAGTTACGATGATCATCTGACTCAAGTCAAGCGGCATAAAATAAGAAAGTATGAGCGAGAGGATTAAATTTTTTAAATTTGGAGATTTTTTCAAAAATGATTACTTATGGGGTTGCTTAAAATTAAATGTTTAGAAGAGAGAGAATATTTTATGAGTTGTATTTGATATTCTAATATTGGAGATGAAGATTAAAAAAATTGGAGATTTTTTTGACTTTTTACTTCTCCATTTTGGAGAACGTGTTGGAGATACTCTAAAGACAAGAGGTACAATGGTTATTTGGTCGTAACTTATGAGAGCATTTCAAACAAATTTTACAAAATGGATAACTAACGGTCAAAAATTTTAGGAAAATTTTAGTTTCACCTCCAATTGCTTCTCCATTTTGAAGATTATCATGTTATTTATATTATTAAAATATTCAATACAACTCATAAAATATTATTTCTCTCTCCTAAATACTTAATTTCATGAATTCCATTGGTAGGAAGAATAAAAAATCATTTCTTTTTTCTAAGTAATTATTTTTGGAGAATTCTCTTCTATTTTCTCTATTTTGAAAAATATTTTAAAAAATCTGTTGGAGTAAAAATCCTCAAAATCTTCATTCTTACTCTAATTTTATATGTTGGGTTGGGTTGAATGATTGTTTATTGGGTATATGTGTGATCCGATTCCGAATATTGGTTGTTGTTATTGGGTTGTACAATTTTTTTGCATTTCAGATATTTGTGTGATAATCAAATGTTTTTTATACTTAAAAATAATAAATATTTTTTTAAAACTTTATGTTTGTTGAAATGTATTTTCCAAAAGTAATATTTATTTCAAATAAACACATCTCAAACCGATATGAATTGTAAAAAAAAAACTTATTTGCAATTGGGCCAAAGCATAGAGGTTAACACGTACATTTTAGAAAGTATTTTAAGTCAACTTTTATTCTTATATAAATATACTTTTGTGACCAAATAGTATCAAATTTTAGTACCTTTGACGAGCACCTCAGTTGGTAAAAAGGTGAGGTGACTTTGCTCAAATACAAAACAGGTTCTGAGTTCGATCCTAACTCCCTACTAGCCTCAACCTCTGAGTGGGGCTAAAAATATCCCCTCACATTGGTATCCTTTAAATGGGTTTCTTGTAAGATTGGCTGGAATTACTGATAATCAACTTTTTGTCCAAAAGTATCAAACTTAGTTTTAGCATTCAGACAAAGTGTTCAAACTTTACACAAAATAGCATCATAACATACCTTTATTGAAATAAAAAAAAATACTCCATAAATGAACGAAAAAATTGTATGTTGTCTAAAATAATAATTGACTTTACAATATTACTGATATAATCTGTATTTAACTCTTTTTATAATGGTTAAGACAATAAGAAAACCCACATGTGAAAATGAGAATATTGATAAAGCTCAAAGTCAACCCACTTATAAGATAGAGGTCCACCGTAAACTAGTAAAGATATATCAATATATAAAACGATAAAAAAAAAAAGTTGTATCCTTTCAGGTGTAACTTGAAGTCCTCTAAAACTAGCAATCATGCACATAATGGGTATATATAGATTTGGGATCATGTAAGACAAGATTGTTTTCGTGAGACAAATTTTTTACACTTGAAACTTCATAGCAAAACTCTGTGAAGATAACTTTCACAACGTTTTTACTGTGAAGATTCAACTTTTTTTTTACCTTTACAGCATTTTGCTGTAAAGTTTCAAGTGTAAAAAATTTATCTCACGTGTCTCACAAAAACAACTTTGTCTCATGTTTGTGGCCACTAGAAGATTTATCTCGGGGTTATGGGCAAAACCTATAATCATAATTGTCATGGGATTAGTCTGGGCAAAGTCTGGGAACACCCATTTCCAAAAAAATATATGAGAAAGTGACCTTCAAGACCAAGACAAAGACAATTGGTTCTAAGATAAAATAATTACATAAATAAACAACGATTCGAGCATGACAACACTACTGTGGAAGTTATAATTCCTTGTTGACATTATGCTCTTAAGTAAATCACCTAACGGATCTTTATATACCTGATTTGCTTCTCCTATAATGTTCTTAAAATTGACAAAATAGACCAACTCAAGGATTAACACTTACAAATCCTTTTACATAAAGATGAGAATATGGGAGAAAGGTGAATTCCACAACCACTACCTCCACTCAAAAGCACATCTCTATGGTCAATTCCTAGTGCCCACTTTCTCTCCTATTTGTTCAACCTAATGGAACCTTACCTTTCTTTCACAAGGGAATCAAGAATCAAAAGGCCAATTTGACCACCTTATCCTTTTCATTTCTTCTTCACAACAATATGTTGATTGTTTTATTAGTCATTTTAGTTCAGTGCTAGTATTTATCATAATCATCTCTCTTTTAGTTAAGTGCTAATATGTTGATCGCTATAAACTATCCAGGATGGTAATCGTTACAACCAATGGCAGATCTGGAAAATTAATGGGGTGGCGGCACGTTGGATGGGACTTGGGGGAGGGAAGCATATGGTCATATGGGACTGGAGGGAATCCATGTAAAACGAGGGTGAAAATAGAAAATTTAAGTTAGTCAACAAAGGTTTTTGGTGTTTGACTATGGGCTTTTCTCCCAGTGCTTAAAGGCTGGATCTGCCCCTCGTTACAACATCTAGTGAGTTACCCCTAATGACTTTCGATGCTAGTTCATCGAGAATGATATATACAAGAAAGATGAAATAATAAAACTAGTGCTCACATAAACAAAATCGTATTTTTATAACAAAGAAAAAGACATTGAAATGAAAATAATTGTCATATGAATTATATTTAGAATTGTAGGGGTCTCCCAAAGAAGCAATGTGAAGCAATAAGTTATGTTGAAATGGTGTAGTTGACATGAGGGACATCATGATGAATATGCAATGTCCATGGCCCTTGAGAGATTATTCTCTAAGCATGCCAAAGTGGGGGAGAGAAGTATTCTTATACCGGTCTAACTCACTTGGCCATGATCCATGAGTGCTCATGCCTCCATATATACATATACACACACACATATATATATATATATATATACATATATATATGTATATGTAGGGTTGGGTTCATGTGAGACCAACATGTTTTCGTGAGACCATATTTTTACACTTGAAACTTTACAGCAAAAACACTGTGAATGTTAAAAAAAGTCACCTTCACAACATTTTGCTGTGAAGTTTCAAGTGTAAAAAGATGGTCTCATGGATCTCACGAAAACAGGTTGGTCTCACATGATCCCAAGTCTGTATATGTATATATACATATATGTATGTTAGTCCCGAAGGGGATGACAATAAACAGAAAGTAATTGTAGAAGGGGGGGTTGAATACAATTACACAAACTTTTTTCAACTTTTTAATTCTTATTGATTTATATCAAGAACTAATACACACAGAAATACAAAAGATTGTTGCGGAAGATAGGAAAGGAAAACCTAACCTAAACAATCTTACAACGAGAAGAACTTTCAAGAACAACACAAAGAGTTCTTGAAAGGAAATGAAGAACACTAA